TTTGCTGTTAATCAATTAGATGTCTTTGAAGAATGAGGCTAGCCTCACAGGCTCAGCGCCAGAGCTCCACAGCCCAGCCTGTTAAATCCTCTCTGAGTCCTTAGGAAAATACTTCTGTTGGGAGTGGGAGCATTCACAGAACATCCAGTCTGCTGCAACTTTAGTTTGTTCTGTAGTCCCCATTCCAATATCGGAGGAAAACTGCTGTGTTTTACCGTGGTGCCTGGTTTCCATGGTTACCTGTACAGAAGGCAGATATTCATTATCTATTCAATAACTGGGTACAGCTGACTGACAACGAAGCGGTTGAATTTATTTAGTTTTATAAAAAATTAACAGACTTACTAAAGTAACATTTTTTCATGTGAGGATTTATGTCTTTGATAGTGGTTGCTACTTTGTTCGTACAAAGAACTGATCAGGAGAGAAGTTCAAGCTTCTGTGTTAAAAGTCTATAAGTGTTTTGTGTATTTTCAAATCAAGACTTTCACTGAGTTTTCAAATGAAAACATAAATTACAACTATGATCTATCAATCATCCAATGAGTTCATTATGTGGCACTATCCCCAGTTGGTAGATCTTTTCAGAATTTGACTGATACCTCTGCAGACTGTCCCATTCCACTTAAAGCGATGAAGTTCAACGTCTGTGTGTGCATGGACTTCCTCTACAGTCAGTGTCTGCAGAAAGAGACAGATGATAGGAGCATTTCATGTGAGCAAGTCTTTTGGAAAGCTTAAAAGCATAGGTGACAAAGATAGCGATATTAGAAATGTATTTTGAAAGAGGTTGTTTAAGAGATGTAATTTAAATTTTGTTTGTAATAGAGAAAGATGGAGCAGAAAATTCCACTGTCTGTAAGACATGCCTTTTTAGAAATGTCAATGCACACATCTGGGTTAGCAGTGGTTTGGTTTATTTTTTTGGTGTATATTACAGCATTTTCTATTTGATGTGAAATTAGACTGCATAACGAAGTTCATTATGTGTCAGGGAATAATATAGTCTGATGGCATGAGGTTTACCATAGCTGATTGCTTTTCCTGAATCAATTATTCAAAACCCAGATTCTGACAATAATCAGTACTTTATACTGCAGAAGGCCAGTAAATTTGCCAGCAGTGCATTTACTTAGTTATGCTGTGCTATAGACTTAAGAAATCTTTAGGAGATAGGTATAAAGTAAAAAGATCAATTTAAGAATATGTTCTTGTCAGTCAGATTTATCCCACCTAACAAGAGCTTATTAATGATTGTCTTTTAGATTGCTGCTGCAATTTCTTTACTATAGTTTTTTGTTTGTTTGTTTGTTTGTTTGTAGTTGCACTAACTTTCAGGTGTTGTATTTCCATACATACCAAATCTTATATTTCAGTCAAGGATGAGGAAGTAAGAATTTATGATTCCTAGAATCTGTCTCACAAATCCTTCAATCATACAAAAATAGCGAGCACTGGATAAGTGGCAAAAAGCAGGAGAGGACAGGAGATTGACAAGGAGGTTTGGTGTACTCTGTGATTACTCTTTATAGGAGGGTTTGCAGACTGATGATATTTGGGGCAGAGGTGAATTGTGGATAATAAAGCCTTACTAAAATAAGGTGTGTAACCTTGAGTGTCAACTTCAAGCTACTGACCAAGCCCACTATGTAGGCATTTTGAACAGTTAGCAAAACTACTGCAAACTGAAGCAGGCTAAGTATTGGCTATCTATTCTCTCTTTGAATTCCTGTGTGGTGGATTAACCCTGTCGGGGTGCTAGGTGCCCACCAAGGCTGCTCAATCACTCCCCTCCTCAGCTGGACATGCAAAAGAAAATACAACGAAAGGCTCATGCGCTGAGATAAGGTCAGGGAGAGATCACTCACCAATTACCATCATGGGTAAAACAGACTCAACTTGGGGAAATTTTATTTGTTCCCAATTAAATCAGAGTAGGGAAATGAGACATAAAACTAAATCTTAAAACACATTCCCTCCATTCCTCCCTTCTTCCTGGGCTCAACTTCACTCCTGATTTTCTCTAACTCCTCCCTCCTAGCAGTGCAGAGGGATGGGGAACAGAGATTGTGGTTGGTTCATGACACGTTGTCTCTGCTGCTCTTTCCTCCTCACTCTCTTCCCCTGCTCCAGCGTGGGTCCCCCACGGGGTCACAAGTCCTGCCAGCAAACCTGCTCCAGCCTGGGCTCCTCTCTCCATGGGGCCACAGTGCCAGGAGCCGGCTCCAGCGCGGGCTTCACACGGGGTCACAGCCTCCTTCGG